GCTAGTACACGTAGCCATATTTGGGGTCCAAATATGGCATGAGTATTGGGCCATCCATTTGTGTAGGGTTGCCTTAGTGGCCGCAATGGTGGTGCCGCCACTGTGGAGGAGGATGGTGCGGTAATGGGCCACGTGGCAGAGCACACCTAGGCCGAGCTCGTTTGTTAGCTCATTGGCATGCTCCCGGTATGCGGAGCCATATTTGGGGTCCAAATATGGCATGAGTACTGGGTCATCCATGCGTGTAGCGCTGTCTTGGTAGGCGCAGTGGCAACGCTTGGAGGTTGCTGATCTTGGTGTTTCGTCGTTGGTTCTTAGGTAGGTTACACTACTATCTTGTTCTATATTTTTGTAATTTTGAGGGGAAGAATAACAACACATTTTTTCTAAATTTATTAAGTTTTAAAAAATTAGTAGAAATTGTAGGGACTTAGGGGGTTATTAGCCCCCCTCCCCCCTTGGCTCCACCACTGCATTTGCTTAGTAATATTTGCCCACCTTGACCCATCGCCTCACCGACGGCGTCCACCACCACCAACACAAATCTCCCAAATCACGAGATCCGAGAAGCAGAGACGCAAGAACCAAAATCAAGAACCCCAAACGCCCTAAATGTGACAAAACTAGAGAGGGTGGAAGAAGAATACTAGTGAGAAGGCGGGAGTCAGAGAAGATCGACGCCCGAGAGGAGTCCTGTGTCCATGACGCGTTGTTTTTGCCGGTGTGTCATGTCCGCTTGGCGTGCACTTCACCACTCCCCCCGCTGCCCCTTCGTGTGCACTCGTCCCATGTGTGACGGGCCGGGATCTCTTCCACCCCAGCAGAGGGGCTGGGCTTCATTCCCGGGACAGGGTGACCGGGAAAGGCCGAGGTCGTCCGAGTTACAGGCCACGCGGTTCTCGTAGGCTGGGATTCTTTGCAGCCCAGGCTGGCCCACGGGGGTTGGGCCCTCACCCCATTCGTGAAGAGCGCAAACGACTAAATGATGTCGGAATTATTTTGTATTTTTGTTATGCTTAATTGGAGTGGGAAGTTGCCTTGTGTAAAAAAAGTGTTTTTCTCCCTGAAAAATGTAACTGTCTGCAACGTGAACATTATATCCTGCTCCTGCCTCCTGCATACAAAAGGGCAACATGTATCTCTAATCGCTTTCTCTTTCCATAGAGCGGTGGAAAAAGCTTTGAATTGTGGGTTTGAATGAATCATGCACGATGCAGGTACAATTGGGTAACTTGTGTCCACAAAATCTACCTTTTAGGTATTATCTCCCAAACCATCTGAAGCTTTAGCACCCTCTCGGCTCTATCCACAGTGTCAACGAGGGTAGTAGGCTGGGGACAGCAACAACAGAGCGTTCACGGCCATGCAACGAAAACGATAGGTACGGGGCGCTTCTTTATCCTTCTCTCTTTGCTGTCTGCCCTTTCCTGCTTCCAGTTCCAACGCTCGTGATCCAGCCCACCCGCAACCCGCCGTGGCGCCGAGGGAATCGTCACTATCCATTTTTCAGTTGGTGGTGAGCGTGGCGAGTGCGTGGAACCAAGAGAACATTCATCTTCACTTAACACCTTATTCTAACCGACGCCACCTATGGCTGTCCTGTCCCCCCCGCCTGACGCTGAGCATCTCCCGTAATCGATCCGTCGCCGGGAATAATTGCCGCGAAATGTGGATATCTCTTCTCGATCCATGCATATGGACGTGTATGATAACGTAGATTGGTCGTTGTTGCCATAAGCTAGTTATTCGTAGCAATGTTGTTCTTGTTCTTGCCATGCATTGGTACTTGCTGCTTCTAGATTTTGTTTTCTTTTTAGTTTTATTACCTGTATATGTAAGTAAGTCCACTAAGCAATTGAATTGCTACTAAAACTAGCCCACATTCAGTAGCATGTCGTGTTGCGCATTGAATTCAGAGGTTTTAGGTGATAGTAGTAGAATGCGGCGTACTTGAATTCCTCGAAATGATATGTTCAGTAGGGTCAAACCGATTTAGGGTCAGAATTTGTCTGATCAAAACTCTAGCCCTACTCCCTAGGCGGCTAATTAGCATCATAACCACGGGTGGATGTACTTGGTAGTGTGGTGTTGTGACTGACTGCACATTTGGGAGTTGCTGCACACCTGCTGATGATAGATTAACACCAGAGGCATTTCTCCTGTCACTTGTGATTGGATTCCTTAGCTACCTACTGCTGCTAGTACTATTGCTCATCTGCAAGTTGTTTGCTGTTGTTCTTGCCGAGCTTGGAGCCATCTGCAGGATTATCTTATCGCGCCATTCGTCATAACCCTCTCTCAATCCTGTCGACGCCGGCCATTAGAATAATGAGCTAGCAGACTTCAACTGATATGTCCCTTCTTAGCTTCCGGCCGATTGCTTATCGCCTAACCTGAGATTAGAGGCTAAACCTGAAGGTTTGACAACAAACCCCGTGCAAATCTTTTCATGCTTACTTGTAATAGCGTGGCAATGAGACAGCCAATCCCTGAAATAGAAAGTGAAGTTGTTGTTGCATGCCTGTTCCTCCTCATGTTTGTGCTTTCTTCAACTACATCCATTAACATGCCACCAAAAGGAGGTTGCAAACTTGCAATGGTCCATCCATGCATGCAAGCATGCACATGCTTTCGCTCATCATCCTCCGATCCTCGGCAAGCACTCTCAGATTCCAATTTCCGAATAATTTAAGCATGAAATGGCCCTTTCCCTTCCAACTCCCACATGCACTACAAGGCTGTGAGCAATAGTCACAAGCTGATGGAGTGACAAATACAAAACCTTGGACAGACTAAGCCACCAATTAATGTGACAAAATAAACCTAGCGCAATTAGTCTTCAGATTAGTAAAATCCACTGAGTCACCAGGTCACGGGTTTGAAGCAACTCTCCGCAGATTTGCTGGGGAAAGGCTTGTCTCGAGTTTTTTCCTTCCCTAGACCCCACTTATGTGGGAGCCTCCGCGCTGTCTCTTTTTTTTATTAGTAAAATCCACGGCAATTGCACCAGCTCCCTGACAGAAGCACACATGCATGAACAAACTGTCATGGCCTCACGGGTCAATTAAATAAGAGCGGTGATGTGTCCTGGTCTCTTATTTGTTCGGTGTGGATTATTTTTTTCCCAGCCAAGTCTTTAAACGGTGCCTAGTCATATGATCATAGCATGGTGCCTAGTCATATGATCATAGCATGTGTACTTGATGTCAGCGTAGGATGATAAAGAGGAACGGGTTAAAAACACTAGCAAGTTGCATAGCAAGTTAAATTTAGGAAAAACCTAATTAAAGGTTGAATGATTTGGAGGTTTTGATTGACCGATTTTTGTTCGGGTACCATTTATCACGCTAGAGTTATGATCCCCAACTTCAACGAGGGCTCTCGTGAGGTTACGATTCAAGACGCAAGATAGGAGGTCTTCATCAATAAGCTGTTTGGCTGATATTTTTATGGTTGATAAGCTGGCTGATGTTGTTTTATTGTGAGAGAAAAACACTATACCATAGTTGATAAGTTCAAAGTGAACAGGGCAAGACTGCCTGTGGTTGTGGTGGGCGCAGCGGTGACAAGGTTGTGGTGGTAGACGACCCACAAGACGATGGTGGCGTGGACAACTGATCAACGGGTTCGGGTAGGGATAGAAGCAACGACAATGATAATAGAAGGTGACTGTAGGAGGCAGCCATTGACAAGATGAGGCCTAGATGATGACAAGAGAGAGGTGAGGCCTATAAAAGTGATTGTGTGTATAGTATCTACGTCTATACAGTGGTCTAAAAAACACTAACCCTATTTCTTGACATCCTTGCTTGCTTGGCTATCCAAAGTGGACTGCATAAGTCTTTCAAGTGCATTGCCATCTGTCAACTTAATGAGCTACTTTATTTTTTTTTTTTTACTTTTTAAAAGGAACTTGTACGCTTTGACATAGCTATAGTTTTGTGGCGCACATTCTGATGCGTTGATGTTGATAAGGTCTTGACATGTACTCTCCCAAAATAAGTAACGTTACCACTCGTCTTATTCAAATTTTTTGTGTAAATTATAAAATAAATAAATTATTATTAAAATATCTCTAATGATAAAATAAATCCTAATAAAATAGATGATATTTATATAAAAATTTTGAATAAAATGAACGATCAAACATGATGTCTGAAAATAAAAAACATCACTTATTTTAAAACAGGGAGTACAGTCGTCCACAGATTCTGAACAGAGACCAAAAGCTCAGCCCCACCACCGTAGCCAGCCAGCCACGACTGATATCTCCCCGTTTCTGAACAGAGCAGCACTACAGACCAATGCATTTTTGTTTGTAGCTCTAGTGCATTCCGAAGGCAAGCTCCCTTTTTTGCTCTACAAACTTTGCGCCTCAGAGCCCAGCACAGCACTACTCGTACACTGAAGAGTGAAGAGTGAAGAGTGAGTTCAGAGAACCTGGAGCCTACCCAGACCAAAACTTGCTTTTGTTTTCTTCTTAGGAAGCATGCGTGAGTCACCACCCAACAATCTTTGCACGGGACACATGCATGCGCACTCCCTCAACTTGCACCTCACCACATCACAGTAACCTATACCACTGTGAGCTTGTGACTGTGCATGGTCATGGTCATGCCTAGGAGGCCGGCCGGTCCCAGGCCGCTGAGGCTGAACAAACCAGAAGGCAAATCTTCCCAGCTCCCTCCGATCCCTCTCGCCTCCCCAGATTTTATTTTATACTCCACTGCCTGCAGCGCACCTCCCATTTCTTGAGTCCGTCTCTTCTTCTTCCTCCTCCCGTGAGCCATGAATGAGCTCTGCGACCTCAAGGTGCACATCAATGGTCATCACACGCTTCATCTCCACCAGGCACGTATCACACGTTTCGTCTCATCAGATCAAGAAATTAACCGTCATTCTATTGTCTTCTTCTTGGCTCTGAATTGATCTCATCTCACCGTCGTTGCAATGCAATGTAACAGAGCGTCATGTGTGCCTTCTCGGGGAGGCTGAGGACGATGGTGAAGCAAGAGAAGATCATGAAGAAGGCCGGCAGGAAGGAAGCCGTGTCCATCAAGCTCGCCGGCTTCCCTGGCGGCGCCGACGGCTTCGAGCTCGTGGCCAGGTTCTGCTACAACAACGGCCGCGTCCTGCTCTGCCCCTCCAACCTCCCGGTCCTGCACTGCGCCGCCGTGTTCCTGGAGATGACCGAGGAGGTGTGCGCCTGCAACCTGCTGGCGCAGGCGGAGGCCTTCGTTAACGGGCTCTGCTACTGGACCTGGGGCGACGTGCTCACTGCGGTCAGGAGCTGCGAGCCCTTCGCCGCGGCGGCCGACTCCTCCGGCCTCCTGGAGAGGCTCATCTCCGCGCTCTTCTCCAAGATCACCGCCACCCCGGAGACGCCTACTGCCGCCGCCTCCGCCGCCTGCGGCGGCGGCATGGGGACACCGAACCGCTCCTCGTCGTCGTGCTCCTCGTCGCCCGACACGGTGGGCTTCGGCCGGTCGTCGTCGTCCGCCACCAAAACGCCGGAGTCGATGCGGCCCTGCGCCGGCAGGGAGTGGTGGTTCGACGACATGACGTCGCTGTCCCCGCCGACCATCGAGAAGGTGATGCGCGTGCTCGGCTGCTACGGCGTCGAGAACAAGAACCTGATCCTGACGCGGTTCCTGCTGCACTACCTCCGAGCCGCCACGCGCAGGCCGCCGGCGCTCTGCGAGGGGGAGCGGGAGGGCGCCGCCGCCCTCGCCGGCCTCGCGGACACGGCCGTCCACGGCGTGGCGCTCGTCGGGGGCACGGCGTTCTCGTGCCGGGGCCTCTTCTGGGTGCTGCGGATCGTGTCAGCGGTGGGGCTGAGCAGGGAGTGCCGGCACAAGCTGGAGCGGCTCATGGGGCTGATGCTGGACCAGGCCACGCTCGACGATCTCCTCGTCTCCGGCGACGACGGCGGCGTGTACGACGTGAACCTGGTCATGAGGCTCGTCAGGGTGTTCGTGGCCTCCGAGGAGGAGGCCGACGCGCCGTCGCAGAGGATGCGGAAGGTGGGGCGCCTGGTCGACAAGTACCTCGGCGAAATCTCGCCGGACCACGGCCTGAAGGTGTCCAAGTTCCTCGCCGTCGCCGAGAGCCTGCCGGACTCGGCCAGGGACTGCTACGACGGCGTGTACAGGGCGCTGGACATCTACCTCGAGGTAAACTTAACCACTCGCCTAATGCGATACTGCCAAAGATGCAAAGAACATAATTTTATTCCAGTGAACACATTGCATTTTTTCATCCCGGTACTGGTAGTGGATTCGTTTCATAGTACTGCTACTGTTTGGGATCATGATTCGGACATGATAACCGAAAGCTTCAGGCTATTGAGTAGCTAATCATAGGGTCCTAGGGGCAGATATGGCGGTATTCCTTTATCGTACCATAGTAAAATAAAAATTCAGAAAAAAGGATACTCTACAAATTACTGCCAGTAGAAACTGGCACTACTGAAATTTACTCTTACCCCTTCGCAATATTCAGAATGCCCTCTTCGTTTTTAGGCAGATTTCAAGCTTCACATTCTGAATGTTCGAAAATTTTGAGGAACCAAATGCTAGGGTTGTGTATTTGCCAGCTTTTGCTGCAAGACTTCTTTCACCTGGCGCCAGTTTTACTCTGGCCTCATGGAGTCATGGTGGGTCCTGACTGAGAGTCGCTGCGATGGTAGCAGACATTACAGTGTAGGGCACCGGGATTTCAGATTTTACTAGTACGTGGCAGCGAATATCCTGTCAGTTTATGATTGGTGTCACGATGAACACTGCACTAGTCTGTTCAGCATGTCGTTGACGCTGATACCATTGGTTGAACTGACGGTGAAAACTGACTAACCGAGGATAGCACGAGTGAAATATTAGATTCGGGGGTGTATATTATGTACAGTACTTACTGTTTGATTACAGGCATCAGAGCATTTTGCTATTCCTCTTGTTGATGCATGTGAGACGACAGGCCTGTAATTTGCTAGGGTGTGAAGCAAACAGGCCTGTAATTTTCCGTTTTACTTTCAGACATTGCATATTTCTTTTTTAATTTCTCCCATTTGTTGGTGACTGTTCCTCGTCTAGTCTATGACAAAGCAGTTGGATAAAGTTCGGCGCGCAGTAGTACTATCATAGTATCATGGGATGCTAATGATGGACAGATAGATCGTCTGGTACTTTGCTTATGGGGGGAACCTTTAATTTGCGACCCCTTTAGCCCTTTGCACCGAACAAGCGTGCGCTGTTGGCTCAAGTCATCAAACCCACAAGCTTTGCCATTAGTTGTGTCTGAAGTAACCTTCCATTCATGTCCACCTATTGAACTTACATAATTGTTCGAAAATAAAGCTTCACCTTACTGCGAATATCTATGGCATATACTTCTTTCAGTTACAAGTTAGTTCACTTTGTCTTTGTTCTAAGTCAAACTTTTGATCAAGTTTGTAGAAAAAAAAAATCCACCACCATCTGGCATATCAAATCTATATCATCAAATTCTTCATCTAATATATTTTGATAGATTTGAACATGTAGATATAATATATTTTCTAAAATCACAATCAAAGTTAGCGACATTGATTTAACTTAAAATAAAGCCAGGGTGAACTATAATTTTAAAATGATTATACTTTGTTTGTCACAGGAAACCAGTAGTACTGGCACATCTCGCCATATCATCAGTGATTCAGTTCTAACCTGTATACATTCTCTGCTGTGAATGGGTAGGATATGGATGGAGTTCAGCAAGTTCTTTTCTCTGACATGGCTGTAAAAACTTTAATTACCTGCATGCATGCAGACGTAGCTTTAGCCTTTTGCCCTGTTTGAAGGGCGCTTTTGATCCATCTCGTCATGAGCCCATCGAGTTGGTTGGTTCTCCGCTGCCTTGATCTCTGGTTATTTTACAACTAAGATCCCGGCTTTGTTTATTTGTTTACTACTGGTGCCTCGGGAGCCTTTCGTCAGCGGGCCTTGTGCCAGATTGCCTTTAACCTGGCCTTTGATGCTTTCCATGATCAAATGGGTCTTCTTTAATCATCACCTTCCTTTGTGTTTGTGCACTGTAGTTTTCCTCGCACCCAGGGCTTTTCCTTGCTCATTCAAGCATGGTCAGATCAGACACACCAAAAGCACTGAATAGTTCTTGTGCACTGCACTTTTCTACCTTTTCTGCTGATGGTTTGACATTTTCCAATGCTTTCTGAATGGTTAACTCTAACATTTTACGTTCAAAAATAGCATTTTGATCACCAGAATCAGTAAAGTTTATGCAGAAGAGTAGTAGTATCGAAACTGATGGATGTTTGCAAACTCTGATCTGAACTATGCCGTTCTGAATGAATGAATGCAGTCGCACCCGGTGCTGTCCCTGGAGGAGCGGACGACGCTGTGCCGGTGCCTCAACTACGAGAAGCTGACGCTGGAGGCGTGCAAGGACCTGGCCAAGAACCGGCGGATCCCGCCGGGCGTGGCGGTGCAGGCGCTGGCGTCGCAGCAGTGCAAGCTCCACATCAGCGAGCCCGGGCCCGGCGCGGCGGCGCCGGCAACGAAGGAGCGCCGGCCCGACCCGTCGGCCTGCTCCCAGTCCCAGACGCCGAGGAGGAGGGTCGCCCGCCGCGCCACCCGCAGCGTGGACCTCGGCGGCTGCCGCGGCGGCGGCGGCGACGACGATGAGAAGGAGCTGCTGCGGCTGAACCTGCAGAGGATGCAGAGCCGGGTGGTGGAGCTGGAGCGGGCGTGCAAGGAGATGAAGGGCCAGATGTCCAAGATGGCCAAGGGCAAGTCCTTCTCCTTCGGCGCGGGCGCCGCCTCCTGCCACCAGACCGGCGGCAGGGGCTTGCCTAGGCTCTGCTGATGGTGACGGGGGAATGGAGCAGTAAACCAGTAACTTCGTTCTTTTTTGTTCTTCTTTTTGAGTGTTTCTGGTATAATTGTCACATATAGCTTGCGATTTTCCTCTTGATCCCTTTGTAAAGCTGATTGTTTGGTTGATGGAGCATTGGTTCGATCGTCCTTTTTACCTTGTGTTTTGTTGGCTGTGAGCGGAGTGACATAGAATGGCAGTATGCTCAGCAAGAACGGGAGGTGTGTAAAGTTTTTACCGTTGCCACACTCGTTGCGCTGTGAAAGTGAAATCTTTTTTAGTACTAGGTGAGTTACTGTCAGAAGAGCCAGTGGACTGCAGCAGCTTTTACCTGGATCTCCGGAATGAATGGATCCACATCCACTGGCACCGGGGACCGAACCCAACACCGCCGAATCTGCTGTTCCAAGAGCTTGTTCGGCGACGGACGGTCAATCCACGGCCGGCACGGTCGCCAACACGCAGCACAGGCCCCTCGGCGACGGATGGTTGCAGACTTGCAGTCTGCCGAGCCAGGACCAGAGCAGAGGGAACGGACCGAGCGGTTAGTTATTAGGCGCATGTTCGCTCAATGCTCCGCTGCAAGCAGTAGCAGCTCGGCGTGGACCACGGCACCGGCGTGACGGCCCGCCAAGTTGGAACGTGCGCGGCGTCCCCGGTGCTCCGGCCCACCGACCGCGGCGGCAAGTTGGCCACGGGCACGGCTCACGGCCTCACGGGCGGGCTCTACCACTTGGCATTAGCAGCGGTTCTCTCGACTTGAGATATGACCCCCGGTATCTATAAGATAAGATATGGACCGCATTATTAGAGGGGACCTAGCTCATAAGATCAAGACGTGCACGGTACTGATCGGCGTGCACCATAAGATATTATATAGTATAAAATAGGATATTTTTTTTGTAACACTATCCCTCCATAATATATAAGTAGAGGTAGGGATCCCCTAGTCGATAACTCGACATCTACATACATCTTAATACAATACATCAAACACACATGACGTAGGGTATTACGTCGATCAGACGACCCGAACTTGTCTAAATCATTGTCTTTGCGCCTTGTGTCATCATCCGGTTTCTATCACGCGCACCTCCACCGATCAATCTACCTTCGTTGGATACACCTCGGAGGACTGCCGAGCATCTTTTGTCGACAGTTGGCGCCCATCGTGGGACTCGTGCACACTGATCCCTAGCGAACCAGATGGCGTAACTCAAGATCAACATCCTTCGCGGCAACTCAGCTGATCGCGTCGACATCCTTCGACAACCACGGCGCACGTATTCGTACGCGGATTGACACCGCCAAGCTCCGACTACGTCCGTCCTACTCCAACATGAGATCAACTTCGTTCCAGCCGTCAAGCGAGCCGCTAAGCGAGCTGCCCGCGTCGCCGACCAGATAACGTCATACGCCGCCGACCAGACATTCTGTCTAAAGCTAAGTCACGCTTTAATATTTTTCTAAATATTCTTCAATCTTCGTATATCGCCATAATATTTCTCCGAACTGTTTTCTCCATGTTTGCTCTTCAAACGATTTTCCGAACTCCCGAACAGTCATGTTGATGCTCGATGTCCCCAGAGACGGCCCTGTCTCCGGCTCCTCCCTACACGTGCACGAGCGTCTGCCCTCTGCGTTATGGGTGGTCGGCAGCGGCTCCTTAGCGACGCTTTATTCTTCCTACACGTACACGGGCTCCGCGCTCCGCGTTATGGTTAACGGGCTAACTAGGGCTGGAGACTCAGCTACATACTAACTGGTCGGCGCGGTTTATATTAAATATAAATACATCTTCACACCAACTGATCGTCGAGATGCATACGTTATTTCATCGTCATTGCTGATTTTTCTCCGGAGTTCATATATTTTTACATCATGTACTACCCGTTCTACATATTTATATTGCAGGATCATCGTCCAGGTGATCGGACCACCTACTGCTCGGACTTCTCCACCGATCAACTGGTCGAACCACTAGGTTCATGGACTTCATCGCCGACCAGTTGATCAGACTGTTCGTCGGTCGCTTCTACTCGATGCTCACTTCGTCGCCAACCAGTTGACCGGACTGTTCATCACTGGTGTTTTATCGCCAGCTACGCCGAGGACTCCTCGGTGCTCAGACATCGCCAGCTACGCGGGGGACCGTGCTCGGACATCACCAGCTATGCCGGAAACTCCTCGGTGCTCAGATATCGCCAGCTACGCCGGAGACTCATCGGTGCTCGGACATCTCTAGCTACGCGGAGACTCCTTAGTGTTCAGATTCTTCGTGCAAGCATCGCCAGCTAAGCTGAGGACTCTCTTGGTAGTCGGATCTTGCTACGTCTCATTGGTGTGCTATCAAGCTGCTCCATGCTGTTCGGATTAGGGTGCTGTCTGGGGTCTTGATACGCACATGTTAGATGACGCCGTCAAGCTATCAGACTTCTTTTCTTTGACCCTGCTACAAGATTCATTCTTGATCTTCCAGCAGGCTCGGGGACTAAGTGGCTACACTTCACCTAGCGGTGAATGTAGTGCTTATTTCTTGATTTACCCTCCTTATTGATGAAGTCTAAGTGGCGAAGTCTAAGTGGCTACACTTCTCCTAAGTTGAAGAGTTTTCAAATTTTATTTTGAACCCCTTACATCCTTCTAGCAAGTCTTACTTGGTTAAGTCCGAGGTCTTCTAACCAGTTAAACTGGTCGGCATTGACTTTCACCACTTAGGTCACCAGTTAACATGGTCGGCTTCGACCTTCACCGCTCAGGTCACTAGTTGAACTGGTCGGCTTCGATCTTCATCGCCCAGGTCACCAGTTAAACTGGTCGGTTTCGACTTTCCACTGCTCGGATCACCAGTTAAACCAATCGGCTTCACGTCAAAATGCTCGGACTTGTTCAAGACAGTGTTGCTTAAAAGATACAAGGCGCTCGGGGACTAGCTGTGGGGGATATGACCCCCGGTATCCATATGACAAAACATGGACCGCGCCATCAGAGGTGGTCCAGCCCACAAGATCAAGCGTGCACGGCACTGGTCAGCGTGCACCGCAAGATATTGTATAGTACCAAATATGATATTTTTCTTGTAACCATACCCCTCCAGAGTATATAAGGAGAGGCAGATCCCCTAGTCGATAACTCGACATCTACATATATCTCAATACAATACACAAAGACACAGGACGTAGGGTATTACCCAAACCTGTCTAAATCGCTGTCTATGCGTCTTGTGTCACCATCCTATTCCTATCACGCACACCTCCACCGATCAATCTACCTTTCGTGGGATATCCCTCGAAGAACTGTCGAGCATCGACACTCAAGATCACGCCGACGCCCGGTGCGCCGTGTAGGACGGTCGGTCGGGCATGGTCACCCTCGCGCCGCCTCCGTTCTCCTCGCCTTGGCAGACTGGCAAGTCTGGCACATCGCTCCACCAAAGCAACCCGCGTAGCCCCGCTGAACCAACAGGCCCGCTTAGCCCATCAGTATTCCTTGGCCCATGTTGTTAGCATTTCTTAATCCTCCTATTCCATGTCAAAGGCTCCGTTCGCGTGATCTTAAACCCGGCTTGATCCGCTTTCTTTTTTCATCCAGAGTAGTGTTTTTCCCTCACAAATTTCTTCAGATTCATCCAAACCCATCTAAATTTCTTCAAATTCCTCCATGCAAACGGGGTCAAAATAATATAGTAGCCGTGGAGGAGATGTGGTGTCATCTCATTGATCACGTGGACAAGAGCCGTCAGTTGCATTTATAAAAGGTTGGGGAAAATAAAAAGAGGCTCGTGGCGCTGTTGCGTTCTGTCCAAACAGGTCGGTGCCTCACAACGTCCGCCGTCCGGATCGCCATCGAAACGCCGAAAGGTAGAGAGCGTGCGTGCCTAAGGCCTACTAATCCGACGAGTGACGACGCTGCTCCCTTCGCAGGCTCATCTTTTTTTTTCTTTCAAGAAATGGGTAGCCTTTCATAAAGAAGCCCGAGACCTCATGAAACTAGCTTAATCACAAGACTCGCCAGCTGATCTAGCTAGAATATAAGATACAACATATACTGATTTAAATAAAGTCGAAAACAATAGATGAATTCTTATCTCTTGCTTGATGTCATGGATGATTGAAGCCATCAGAGAGTGATCCCTTCCATTTTATCGGAACTTCTGGATCACAGAGAGGCAATTATCACACTGTTATATGTGATATTTGAGATGAAACGTACATTATGACCTCTGTAAAAACATACCTCAGAGCAATTGCCTCTACAAGTTTTGGACCGGTGTCATCTGGTACTGCAATTATCACCTTTCGCAGGCTCATCTGGTATTGCAAGATCACTCCCCGTGTCGAGGCATGTTTTTGCTATGTTAGTTTAGATATACAGCATGTTCGTTGGTTGGTTTCTAGGCTAATAAGTTCAGACCGATACTGGTTTATTGTGAGAGGAAGACACTATATCATGGCTGATAAGTCTGGACTGAAACCAACAACGGACAATAAAAAGCTTGTTCTTTTAACAACCAAGCACGTTTTTTTTATTAAGAGAGAGTACATGAATATTATTATTTTTCTAAAGTCTAGCGTAGATAACTGCAGGTGTTTGATCTTTCCCATAGTGTGTACTGTGTAGGAGTACCTTCTTTAGGTGACACAAGTGCTTTTTAGTGTCTGCCAACATCAGCGAGAAACGACGTCAATGGCGAGACGATGACATTCTTAATTGCTGGGCTTCCAGTCCAGTCCAATCCGATCCAAACCATTGAGCCAGAAGCTCCTGGAGGCCCACGTGTACCCACTCCTCCCGGTCCAGCACTCGAAACCGACGGAGAACCGAGCGCCGACAACACCCCAACACGCGCGCGCTGGCTCTCCCCTCTTCTGGCCAGGCCCCGGCGCATGGCTCTCCCCACTTCTGGCTGGCCTGGCTCGACCGTGTACGCGTAGGCCAGGCCCCGGCGCATGGCTCTCCCCTCTTCTGGCTGGCTCGACCGTGTACGCGTACGCCACCCGGACCCGGCTCGGCTGCACTCTACTCGACTAGTTTAAGGCGTTCACGACAAAATTGATAGACGGACACCGAAACAAAAAGCAATTTTTACACGCGGGCCCTCGGCTTCGCCGGAAATCGTCTCGGAACGGGAGATCTCGCGGGCCGGCCGGCGGCGAGAGGATGTCCACCGCGCCCGCGCGGCGCGCCCACCCGCCGCTGCAGAACGGCGCGGGGGGCCACGACGGGGACGACGAGCGCGAGGAGGAGGAGGAGGAGGAAGTGGGCGATGACGAGGCGGAGGAGGACGAGGACGAGGAGGAGCCGCGGCTCAAGTACCAGCGGCTGGGCGGGAGCGTGCCGGCGATCCTCTCCACCGACGCCGCGGCCGCCATCGCCGTCGCCGACCGCATGGTCGCGCTCGGCACCCACAACGGCACCCTTCACATCCTCGACTTCCAGGGCAACCAGGTACCCCTCGCCACAGGGCGCGCTCTCCTCGCGAAATTGGGGCTTGTGATGGGGGCGGGGGTTGGAGGGAGCCGGGATCGTGGCATTGGGACTGCTCTCGGAGCTTCCTCTATGCTTGCTGGGTCAAAACTACTTGCCAGTTCAATGATGGAACTTCGAGGGATTTATGTCCGAAACTGAATTGGCTGCAGACACTCACACGGCTGCTGGAGACACCTAGATGTATGTACAGAACTGGGGTTGCTTCTAGCTTCCTTCATCGCAGCTTGAAACCATGTGATGCATATAGTTTTGGCAATAATGATCACACTACTGTAGTATTGTTCTGATTCGAATTTCACATTCTTATGGTTGCAGAAGCTATGGAGCCAAATAATGACACATGATATGCAAAACTAAAGTGTGTGATCCAATGACTTTGTCAACCCATGTAGATTCAATCTGTAGAAATGCTACACTGGTGTGCTGATAATATGCATCGGTTTCATCTTATTGTGCTTTATTTATGTTTTGTATATAGGTGAAAGAAATTGCTGCACACACAGCAACTATCAACGACATAAGTTTTGATGGGGACGGTGAATATATAGGAAGCTGCTCAGATGATGGCACAGTGGCAATAAACAGCCTCTTCACTGATGAAAAACTAAAGTTTGAGTACCATCGCCCCATGAAGGCAATTGCTCTAGACCCTAATTATGCCCGGAACTATAGAAGATTTGCTACTGGTGGTTTGGCAGGCCAAGTACTTGTGTTGACAAAGAAGTCTTGGGGAGGTTACCATAAGAAGGTAAGTTCGGTTTTTTTAGGATAATAGATCTGATGCATCTAGTGACCTCTAATGGTTATCTCATATCTTGCTCGATCGTTATGTAGGTTTTGCGTGATGGTGAAGGGCCAATCCATTCGATGAAGTGGAGGGCGGACCTTCTTGCTTGGGCTAACGATGCAGGGGTGAAAGTGCATGATATGAGGACAGACAAAGGAATTGCATTCATAGAGAGACCAAAAGGCATTCCTCGACCAGAGTTCTTGCTTCCCCACCTAGTCTGGCAGGTAATTATATCCTTATATCTATATATGGATTATGTGTAGTTTAGTTGAACCATATAATCATATATACCTCAACCGGTAAATTTCAATTTTGTTAGCATATAAGTAAAATATTGTTAGAAGGGTGCAAAAGCAAAAGACTTTTGTGAAGTTGAAAGTTTTGGTGATATGTGCAATAAGTCAAATATTTGCTCTTAACTTTGGTGTGTTGAAGACAGGATATTAGCCAGAGGCACAAAACACAGAGAAAAACGCATGACACACCCATTTTTAATGAATTGACCATACTTTAAATTGTGTCAAAGAGCATGGTAACCATGTTATTTTCTGGTTGATATGAAATTATTCACGTTGTTAGCGTGTCTGACTCCCAAGACATACCTCTAAAATTTCCTTTTCTTATAGTTTGTTGTAAAAGTACATGCTGTGTTAACTGATCTTTGCCTACTTAGGATGATACAGTCTTAGTTATTGGATGGGGAACAAGTGTCAAGATTGCAGCGATTCGAACAGATTTATCTCAGGGACTCAATGGCCTACAAAGGACTATCACCACAGCTAGTTCTGAGAAGTATGTGGACATTGTGGGCTCATTCCAAACAGGCTACCACATATCTGGGATTGCTCCATTTGGTGACCTTTTAGTCGTACTTGCCTATATTCCTGACGAGGATGAAAAAGAGAAAACATTTAGTACTTCTGTTACTTCACGACAGGTAATCATCATACCTCTAAATATCTGTTACATCTGCATTGTATACCATATACCTTTGCTTCTAAAATGATGCTTCTGAGATTGATGTTCTTGTTACGTTTCTAACATTTTGCAGGGAACTGCACAGCGTCCAGAAATACATCTTGTATCATGGAAAAATGATGAAATTACTACAGATGCTCTGCCTATTCATGGTTATGAGCATTACAAGGCAAAGGACTATGCTCTTGCGCATGTGCCTTTCTCAGGTTTAATTGATTGTGCTCTAACATCAGTGACATTTCTTTTCTTATCGATGGGAACTTTTCTAATGAAGGAACCCTGATTCTTTTGTCCTATCATTCAGGAAGTAGCAATGCAGGTGGACAGTGGGCTGCTGGCGATGAACCTTTGTATTACATTGTGTCTCCTAAGGACATAGTGGTTGCAAAGCCAAGGTTTGTTACAAAACAAGAGCTCGTATTAACCCCCAATTTACGATATCTAATTTTATCTGATTGTCACTTTGAGGTTATTATATTAATTGAAATTGAATGAGTAAATCGTGATACAGAACTGAACTCTACTAACAAAATTAAGAAAATATTGGATGTAGTGCTGTTTCATTTCTTGTTGACTATAGCGGTATAGCTATGTTAGTTAAATGTTTGAATTTCTTTGGTATTACTCAGCTTAGTCTCTGTCCTTTCCATACCAACAACGGAAAATTTTCCACAGGATACACAAAAACCGTCTCTTTTGCTAAAAGACACCGAAAAAACTGATCTTTGGTGCTGGACACTACAACTTTGTGTATATTTCTTATGGGACACGGGTTAGTGACCTCCAGCAAATGTTAGAAAGAATTGATCTTTTCCATGCATTTTCCGGAGGACACTGAACCATGTCCATCAGCCAATATACACAATTTTATAGTGTCCAGCAGCAAAAATCAGTTTTTCCAATGTCTTTCAGTAAAAGTAAGGTGTTTTGAGTGTCCTGTGGCAAAATTTCCCCCAAAATAATCCCATGGCTGATATAGTGTGCACCTTCTGATTAGAGATGCTGAAGATCATATTGCTTGGCTTCTTCAACATGGTTACCATGAAAAAGCATTGGCTGCAGTTGAGGCAGGGCAAGGACGCACTGAGCTTCTTGATGAGGTGAACTAGAGAAATAGGGTGCACTGTTAAATAGCTCTCATGATGATTGGGCTAATCTTGGTATTGGTTATTATACCATATTTAAGATGATGGTTAGCTATTCTTCAAGAAATGAGACCTCTATATGCACAAATAGATGCTTCTTTTCAAATCAGGTCATTTTACAGACTCTTAAAGAGTGTCACGAAAACTGTCCCTACTAATGCAGATAAAAGAAAAACTGTCTCACTTTCCTTTATGGCTTTATCTTATACATGAAAACTGTCCCATGTATTTTCAGAAAGCTAAAAGTGTGGCATGTTTTACAGCCAATATATAAAGGTCTACCATTTTTTAGCCCATCTATGAGAAGGACCTGTCCTTACAAAAGGACACCTAACTACATTAGAAATACTTTATGCATTAAAGTTGTTTCATTCATGTTGTTAATCCAGGTGGGTTCAAGATACCTTGATCACTTGATAATTGAAAGAAAATATGCTGAAGCTGCTCAGCGCTGCCCAAAGTTGCTGCGAGGATCTCCTTCAGCATGGGCGAGGTTAGAAAAACATGTTGATACACAGATATCACCTTTTGTTAGATGGTCTAGTATAACACCGATGAGTTTGTGAGATGTTGATGGATCTCCCCCTCTGCGTTAGTTGATTCCTTTTTTTTAACCAAAACTTTTATGCAACAGATGGGTCTTCCACTTTGCTCATCTTCGCCAACTTCCTGTTTTGGTCCCTTATATACCTACAGAAAATCCTCAGCTGAGTGATACTGCGTATGAGGTGTGGTGCTAACTTGTAAGTTCCATTACTAATTTTAACACTATCTGTTGTAATTATTCTGATTTTCTTGTGTAGGTTGCCCTTGTTGCTCTAACTACCAATCCTTCTTTCCATGAACTTCTCTTGACTACTATAAAAAATTGGCCACCGACATTATACTCAGCTTCACCGGTCATATCTGCCATTGAGCCACAGCTAAACTCCTCATCGATGACTGATTCATTGAAAGAGGTGGGGAGGGACATCGTTTAATGGATGTAAGACATATATATACTTCATTGGCTTTCACTCTTTGATATTTTGTCTTATGTTCCATGTAGGCATTAGCAGAATTGTATGTGATCAATGGTCAATATGAAAAGGCACTTTCTCTTTATGCTGAAGTAAGTACTTCCTAAATTGATGTGTTTGTAGGCATCTCAAAATATATATTTTTTAAATACCAAAGTCTTTCTAATTAAATCCATTTGGTTCAGCTCCTGAAGCCAGAAGTATTCGAGTTTATTGAGAAATACAACTTGCATGATGCCATTCGTGATAAGGTACCAAAATGGATGAGTCCAATTTAGCTGCTAATACAAAGTTACATTCTACAGTGATATGATTTAGAAAAAAAGCCTTCCATATCCTCCACTTAAACACTTTTTTAAAATATTCTACAGGTTGTCAATCTTATGATAGTGGATAATAAAAGAACAGTTCACCTACTGATCCAACATCGTGATATCATTCCCCCATATGAAGTTGTGGAGCAGTTGTTGCATACCAGTAAAAACTGTGACAAGAGATATTTGTTACACCTATATTTGCATGCTTTATTTGAGATAGATATACATGCTGGAAAGGATTTTCATGATATGCAGGTACCGTTTTTGCCACATTTTAACATAGGGGCCTTATAAATAATGCCTCCCTCATTGTTATGTCCATTTCCCCCCCATTGTTTTTTTTTACATTTGCTTTGTGTTTTGACAATAACTTGCAAGTCAAAACTGTTTGCATCATAGGTGGAGCTTTATGCAGAATACGAGCCAAGGATGCTACTACCCTTCCTCCGAACCAGTCAGCATTACAGGCTTGACAAGGTCATTGTTTCCCCAAAAATCGCATCATAAAATTTTCTTTAGTTAATTATAGGCTTGATAATTTGTTATTGTTATTCAGGCATATGAAATCTTTGCACAAAAGGAACTTGTAAGGGAGCAGGTTTTTGTCCTTGGTCGAATGGGCAATGCTAAGGAAGCTCTTTCGACAATTATAAACAAACTGGAAGACATGCAGGAGGTTCTAACTTGCTTATCCATTATATTACCATTTCTGAGACACCCTGTTCTATATTAGCCAACTTGATATATGGGATTGAACAGTAACATAAATCTTGAAATGCATACAGGCTGTTGAATTTGTTACGGAGCAACATGATGATGAACTGTGGGAGGAACTGATTAGACAATGCCTCCAGAAGCCTGAAATGGTAACTGAAATAAATGGTGCTTAATCTTCCTTAGACTGAGGCATCTTTGTTTCTTAGTTTAATTTCTATGACTGTTGAGCAGGTAGGGAATCTATTGGAACATACCGTTGGCAATCTTGATCCTCTTTACATTGTCAGTTTGGTTCCTGATGGCTTAGAAATACCTCGGTATGTTTCCATCAAAATTTATCGTAAAAATTTATGAGCTACAAAATTTCTTACATGACTTAAACCTTGGCAAAAATGCTCTAAATGATCTGTCATAATCCTTTAATCCAACCATGTCATCCCCTGGTTCGAGTGTTTACTCATGCTTTTGATAGGTTGCGGTATCGTCTTGTGAAAATTGTGACGGATTACCGGACAGAAACTTCATTGCGAAATGGATGCAATGATATACTGAAGGTTAACTTTCTTTCCTATACTGTGCTGCTCCGTATTTCAATCTCCTCAAATTCTGAGTATTTTCCATCCGAAATTTGCCTTGTTCAGGCTGACTGTGTTAACCTTTTGGTTAAATACTACCATGAGGCTCGGCGTGGTGTCTACATGGCAAGCATGGACGAGGAGGTACATGGAAACAGAACTGATGATGGATCCTCTCGGGGGCATGAGAGATCATCTAGTGTCCGGGCTCTAGATATCAAGTCCAGAACGAGATGTGGTGCCCGGTGTTGCTTGTGCTTCGATCCTTTGCCTATCCAGGACATATCTGTCATCGTGTTCTACTGCTGCCATGCATATCATCTGTCTTGTCTTGAAGGTGGTTTAGACTCGATGAGATCAAACAGTAATCAGGATAGTGACAGTGGCACGGACGATGAGGATGGTTCCCCATCAGGCCAGTCTCGTATGCGCTGTGTATTGTGCACTACTGCTGCTGCATAATTTATACCGTGTTGGGTAGTACACATTACCTTGTGTTGTGTTGCAAGTTTTGAGCCATGTAATTAGTGTGTTCTTTTCGTGTGTTTCACATGTACAATAGCGTGATTCTTTTGAGGGAAGCCATGTCCTCGGCAAGAGGAGTTTTGTGTAAATTTGATGTACCAGCATGAGCAAAGTTGTGCGGCATTTCCAATTTTTTTTTGTAATGCCACGTCTGCCAGATAATCAAAGGTTTATTAACTTTACACGATGCAGAAGTGTTCTTCCTTAAACATCCCTCCATTTTTACATGAGTACATCTTTTTACTACTTGGTTTTCCAGTTTGTCTCCGATCCCGTGAAGCTGAGGGTAAAGCTGGGATTATGGCCTTCTAAATCTATCTGAAGAAGTCCATTGGTATACTTGACTAAAGCAGAATACCAGTCAGACTACTTAAAAAGCATTGAAGTAAATCTCGGGGTTTAAATCATATCAAAGTAGTTATAAAAAAAATCATATCAAAGTAACCAGTTGGTATTCCAGAGTTGCACACCAACTTGCTAACCATACTTCGAACTTTCTAACGTATCAGTATCCAGTAACATTAGGTCATTACGTTATTCCAAAAGAACTGGGCAACTAACGGAACCAAAGATGAAACAAATACAAGTTCATGCAGAATATGCTAGTCTATTGTCTATACACTGCTCTTTTTGGGACTAAGGCATGGTAGAATTCCCCAGTTTCTTCTCACTTCCTCCAGGTCTTCATGAAAGTGCTTCTCGTAATATACAGACATCAGATCAGTACACTTGAGACCAGCTTTTGTTGCCCATGGGAAGTAATGCTGGAAAAACAGCGTCCTTTGTTTCTCACTGAACCTTGCAGAGCCCCCGACAACTGACAGCATGCACATTGGGAGGAACATCTGTTCAAATTCTATCACCTTGAGGGCAGTCTCCCCAATCAGGTTTGTTGGAAGGCCAAACAGCACGTGCCAAAAGTCATGCACCTCACGAGCACGCGTTGCGACGTAGGCGAGCTCCTCAGTGTCCATGAAACGGACAGGCGGGCGATCATCTGGTGAGAAGTTCCTTGATCCCATGAACTGAGCGTATGCCGCACCAAATGTGTTCTGAGGCATGTCCCAGGCATGGGAAACCTGTGAGGATATAACGCGAGGACGCTCCATAAGAACTTCCTGGAGGAACAAGTCTGTCAGTAACATGGACGAGGGGAGAAATCTAGGCCAAAATAGAACATAACTGCAAGTTGACATGAGTTTTTATTTTGGCATATCTTAGTTGCACATGAAATTGGTAAACCAATGATACTATGGAAATTAATGTAGTAGAATACAGCAATTGACCACAACATGCTTAATCACAAACCAGTAACCTAATCAGATGTGTCTTTGATTACATCAGCTTGCTAAAACATCCAGGGAAAATGGGGAAAACAGTATTCACAACCATTCTAGTAACAGAGTAACGTCAAGTTGGCAATTGTTGCGTAATTTCATTCTCAGATCAGATAGACAACTGTGTTTCACTAATGTGGTAATTCTGCATATGATTTACAAAACCAGCTATTGCTGAAAGCTATCAAGGAATTCACGGCCATAAATGGTCTAGGACAACTAGAACACAAAAGAGGGGGCAGTGTGTGTTTACCCTGCCTTCTGCACTGTTCTTCATTCGTTGCAGCACACGCTCAAACGCTGGCTTCCCAGTAGTCTCTCCAAGAGCAGCTATAAGATCAGCCCTCCTTGGGTCAAGCAAGGCCCCAAACGCAGAACCAAATGCAACAGCCGCCTTTTGCCACCCCTTCAGCTGCACACGCGCGCCCAGCATGGCTCTACACGCATCAAGACGTCTGTAATTTGATTAGGTCAGATCCGAATACAAAATTGCTTGGGTTTGGGTGCTCGGTTTTGCATAGCAGGAAAAGGAAGAGAAGGGGTGGGCCGTGGGCGTACCTAGTGGGTTCTCGTCGCCGGCGGAAGTCCGGGGATGGAAACCTCGGCACCTGGGGTGGGGCGGCGGCCGTCCAGTCGTCCCCGCCGGAGAGACAGCGCGCACGCGAGGGCACGGACGGGACGGGACGGGAGCCACGAGACCACGAGAGTATCCCGGCAGGCCGCAGGGTAATGGAACCAATGGTTCCGATCTGTTTTAGTGGACCTCAAAATGGTGATCAAGGCCCTGTTTCGACCCCTTATTTGAAGCTTGCTAATCTTCAGTAACTACTAGCAACGTTTTTATTGTTGATAGATCCATAAGTAACACCGTCTGTCCGGATGCCGCGCACTCACTCCGTCTCACTGCTACCGCCTGCCCCCGCCACGTGTCCCATCCCGCGCCACGCGCCCGTCGCGCGCCCAACCTGCGCCTCTTGCTCCTCGCTCCCCCCCCCCGCGCGCCCCACCCGCGCCGTCGCGAGCGCCGCTCGCCTCTGCTCTCCTCATTCTCGTCCTCTCCACCTCTCGGTCTCTCTCTCTCTCTCGCGTCCGCTGGCAGCAGAGTGCCTCCCTGGCCTTTTTCCCAACCCCAACGCCGTCGGGATGCCTTGCCGTCATGGGTCGCCGCCACTGCCCCTGCCGATGGTGGCTTCGACATAGCCAAGGGCACCCACGAGCGTGGCCGGTGCTGGTGGTGCTCGCATGTGCCGCTCGTCGTTAGCTCCCACCCCGCTGGCCGGAATCGACCAGCCCCAGCCTCTCCTCCTCTAAGTTGTAAATATATGTTTCAAGTGTTTCATATGTTTCAGAGGTATATTGCAGGTACTTTATATGGATATTGTAAATATAGATCGGAATGTTGTATATATTGCAAGTGTTTCAGAGGTATGTTGCAAGAGTTTATTCAAAACGTTTCATCTGTTTCAGACGTATGTTGCAAGAGTTTTGATCTGTATGTTATATGTTTCACACATATGTTGTAAGAGTATGTTTCAAATGTTTTAGCTATTTCTGTCTTATGTAAAAATGTTAGCTATTAACAGGCACAAAGAGTCGCGTTGGGAAAACACGATATTTTTTATGACCTGGTCAATTGTAGCCTAAGACTATCTCCAACAACATCACCTAAAATACAAGACACATTCTACGTTTGGGTAGCGCTACAGGAAAGGATTCAATACCCATTTTTAGGCCCCGTTCGCGTGCCCTTAAACCCGGCTTGATCCGCTTATTTTTTCATCCGGAACAGTGTTTTTCTCTCACAAATTCCTCCAGCATTCTCCAGAATTCAGACAAGCGAACAGGCCCTTAGTCTTCTCCAACAACAGAGCCCAAAAGAGAATTCTTTCTGCATATGAGTCTTCAGGAGAGAGGATACTCATATTTAGGTTGTGCCTCTGCTGTAAGAAAAAATGGGTCTCGCATATAGATACTCTGTTGGAGGCTGATATAGTACCATCCAAGACCTATTTTGGTTTGGGTGCCCGTATGGGTCATCCGTTGGAGATAGTCTAACGTTGTGTCAATCTTTTTGGCCCACATCCACACGGATATGCCGGGTCAAATCAGGCTATATCTTGGCAGCCTATTCGGCTGGAGGAAAACGATCGTATACGATCGTAAATTTTTAGCCAAAACGGTATTTTTTTCTCACACAAACCAACCAGCATTACTTCTTCACGAACCAGCAACGAAACGAACCAGCCTGCCGAACAGGCTGTAGGTTGGGTTAGGTTTTTGTGTTGGGATAGAACGGGGGCATTGGGTCAAAACTTTCAGCTCCATGTAGCCCACTGAGTAATATACATGCCATAGTATCAGGAAGACATAAATTATTTATCTATCTATATATAATAATATAGATGTAAAATTTTCTTCTCTTTTTACCATTATTTTGGTCTAGCACTCCCAAACTACTTCTGTTTGCGGTGGAACAGAAGGCATGCCCTAACACGTGTACGCCTGTCCATCTTTATAGTCCAGCCTTTGCACGCCACCACCAAGAGGCCAGGGCAGTCCATATACGAATACGATTCTCCTCCGTTTGAGATTCAACAAGGTTGACAGGGTGCGAACGGAGACCAAAAAAAAAAAACAGAAGTAGAACACCAATTAAAGAGGAGAAGGTACGTGTCTACGTGAAGATATAACTCCATAATCCTTGATGAGGGCTAACTGTTGTTGACTTTAATCAGAGATTAAAATTACAGATTTTTGTAGGTCCACAAAAATGACGGAACTCAATATTTAACTATAGCAACATATGGATAATAAAAAATTAAGTTATGATATATATATGATCTAAATATTTGTGTGCTTTATGATAAAAAAAAGACGTACCCAGTGCAGAGAGCTCCTGCTCTGTGCGGGGTCTGAGGAAGGATGTCAGTGGTAAGACTTACCCTCGTTGTGCAATGCGAGGAGACCGCGACTCGAATCTAGGACCTTTAGGTCACAGGCGGTAAGACTCTACTGCTTGCACCAGACCCGCCCTTCTATTTGTGTGCTTTATGATAGTAGAAAAAAAATCAAGTTTGTATTTTAATTCGATATAGGATCAATAGTACATTATCATATTATTGTCAACATTAACTTTTAAATTTATAAAATAAAATGGTTAAACGCAAATAATATGTATCAATCTTATAGTCATTTTATAAACATTTGATTTTTTTTCCGTTGTAATGTACGGGCATATTTGCTAGTTGATAGTCAAAGCTCAAATAGATATCTTAATAGACACTGTCACTTGTACCGAACCCACCGACTTTAACAGGCAGGGTGTCCAGCCCTGTTGTGTCTGGTTTTATGCCAGATAATCCGAACAGAGGAAATGTGGAAAAATCATTTTCCTCGTAGTGTTCGTCTTATAAGCCGAAGTGTTTGGACCGTGACATAATGGGATGTAACGGATTTTGAGAGTGGTATATATATCTTTCACTCTCACTTATTAACTTTAGTCTAATTTGAAACAAACTGACTTTAGGCTAATTTGAAACAAACTTATCCCTAGGCATTCACTCCTCCCTCACAACTCTCTAGACCTCATCTTGGTAGGATTTTATTGTGAGTTGGTGTGAGGGCAATGATTCAAGGCAGATCTTCACTTCCATCCGAGTAATCATGTCTTCCAACATCTAGCACCAACTGTTCAACGAGATGTATAGCTTGGATTCACCTATTGTTCAACATCCAGCACCAACTGTTCAACATCCAGGGAATAATCGCTGAAAAAGTGAAAAGTAAATGCAGAACTTCATTTTTAGTGAACTATATGACATTAAAAAAAAAGATGAGAGAATTTGTCCTATATGCCTAACTATAAATTTATTCCACACCTAAACTATCAGGAATGAAATCTTTAGACAGAGGCAATCCAAGATGGGAATCTAAATCAAAGAAATGAGTCACAGATATAGAAACAAACTTACCATGGATTATCATGCATGAAAAAAATTGTCAATGTATTTCTTGGGGAAAACAAGACACTTCACTATCCAGTAACAAGAGTTTTCTGGAGTAATAGCTTGAGGTCCTCAAGCCTGTAAATATATAACGGCTGTAATTTATCTGACACACAAAAAGGTCTCAAATGCCAATCGAGCAGAACCTACCTGACATTACTAAGGTCAGGATAGGTAGCAATTGCATCCTTGAAATCCTATGAAGAAGTTAGCAGATCAGGATACAGTTCAGTTACAGTGAACAAGAACTAGAACTAAAGATCAATCATACTTGGCTAGCAGTTGAAGATGTATATGTTATTATACATGACATCCCTGCTCCTTTTTCAGCCTATTAATAAGTAAATGTATCTCATAGTCAACAGGATTAGTGTGGTTAATCAAATACATACTTGGAAGACTTACTAGCAATCCAATAACACTATCCTCAACCACAAGGCAGTTCTTGCTTTCCACACCTAATTTCTGGGTACAGCAAAGGAGGTCCTTAAGGTGACCAACTCTGGATATATCATATGAAAAAACAGACAAGACTTGATACTAGTGTTCACTACCTCTGATGCTGTTATATATATTGTTGGATCAGGCTTCTTTAGTTTAACATCATCACCTGCAGTGGAGGCAATTGAGAATTGTGCAATTTAAGGACTGTTGTCTTTATCGCAACCAGAACCTTAGCGACTGCCAGATCCAAATAACTTAAATTTGACAATTGACAAAGGAGTGATCTGATATTTCACATTTGGGAAATATAATCCAAAGCATCCTCAACAATCTATTGTTTACAGGACTTGCTTAACTGTTGATATATTTGTTGTAATTTTTATATAGTTTAATGGCATTACGCTGTTCTTACAAGTGCTACAAATGCAACCACTATTTATTCCTTGTTTTTTGAACATTAAATACAGCAAGGGAGGCCCCCACTCTAAAGGATTTTATTGAAAAAAAAGAACATGAGGAGTTTTGTAGTTTCTTTTGTTACTGTTGTCAGTGAACTTCAAAAGACTAAAGGTAAAAAAGGCAAGAGAAGAGGGAAAAACAGAACCTTACCAGCAAGGAAGCAATCCAGGCCATTAAATCGCTCCTATAGAAACAAGAGCAGAAGTGAGAAAAAATAAACCAGCCAACACAACAGAAGTTCTGGGGCAGACATATGAAAGCAACATAAATCATATATTTTAACTTACAAGTCCAATAAGGTTTCCAAGGCACATTATGACTGAACTTTTAGTTGCTGCAGAGCAAACAGCAAGCTTGATACCCTACACCATTGTATAAAGGATAAAAATCACCTCAGAGTACCAAATAGCTATATTGTTGAGAACTCACTGAGGTAATGTGACGAAGCATTTAAATTTTTGCGAAAACACTAGTACAGAGACAACGAAGATGTTGCTTTGAAAAAAAAATAAAAGAAAGATACTCCAATAAGTTATATTACCGCATCCTTTACTTCATCCATCAACTGCAAAACACCAGGTCTAGGCTTCACCTAACAATAGAGAGACTCAAATCAGGGCAGACAAAAAGGAGATGACTTGTTATACATATTAATTTTAATTATGATGTAAGTTTATGAAATAATGAAGGCATTGAACTTACAGTTCCAGATTTTATAATTTCTTTGTATCTCTATGTCGGCGTTTCGGAACCGGGGGTCCTTAACCGACTAGTGAATTTGTGCTGCGTGCTCCCAATTCCGGATGGTGATGCAAAGAGACACAAGGTTTATACTGGTTCGGGCAATGGATGCCCTACGTCCAGTCTGAGAAGATGTTCTTGTATTTCTTGCACCGGGGTGCTCGTAGTAGGAGGTTACAAGCTAGGCGAGGGAGGGAGTTCGTCCCAGGTCTCTATGAGGGGAGGTGATATGAATTACAGAATGAGGCGTGTTGTTCGTGCGAGTATTCGTGACTCTATCCGCCGTCCCTAGAAACGGTCCTGGCCGCCTCCTTTTATAGCCGTAGGGAGGAAACCAGGAGTACATAAGAGAGTTACACGTGGAGCAAGGACTATTCGATGACGTATTTACTCTCGGAGCAAGCATGGCGTTGTCGTGGGAGTTCCGTGAGATGTCTAATCGGTATGGTCTCCATCGCAAGTAACATGCTTCGCGCATTTGTTGACTTGGTGGATTGCGAGAGGCTCGGCGGCCATCGTAGCCGGTCGTCGTGCCGAGGCCTCGTCGTGCCAAGGCTCTGTTGCCGAGGCTCTGCGTGCGTGCGAGGACGAGAAGTGACCAGTGCGGATGCGGTCTCGGCGGCTATCAGCGGAATAGTGCGAGGCGCGCCTACAGGATATTGCACTGTATTGTCGATGAGGGATGGTAAAAAGGTGATCGACCGTTGTCCCGTCGCTCTGTTGCGGCGCCTAGACCGCCGATCGTGGCTTACGTGGCGGGTGCAATTTGGCGCATTAATCGGATCGGCGACTGCCAGAGAGACCTTTGAGGCGGAGGCGACGAGGTTGCGGGACGAGAATAGGAAGCGACCGGAGCGGTCGTCCGAGGCCCTACGGAGGTCTCAGCAGGGCGGGCGAGGCGGCGAAGATCGGTGAATCCGAGGCCCGTCCGAGGGGGGGCTCGGCGCGAGAAGCGGTCGGTCCGCTGATTCCGAGGCTATGAACCCGTTCGACTCTCCACGTTGCGATGTCTTTTGCGGGAGTTAGCAAAGACACGGTGGTGGTAATCGCCGTAGATGGCGAGGAGGTTTGACGCGATGTTGGCGTGTAGTCGGTCACTTATTGCATCTTTGTGCCATCGATGCGTCTGCCGGAGTGGTTGGGCGCTTGGATCGATGTTCGGTCGAAAGTTGATTCGAAGAGGCGGTCATGGTGGCTGGTCCCGAGCGGCCTCGTTGAATCGAAGAATCGGCTCTTCTTCCGAGGCCCCGGGCGAGGGAGGCTCGACGAACGGGCCTCGACGAGGGGGCCTCGGCGAGGCGGTCTCGGGCGAGTCGGAGAATCGTTTGCTTCCGCTGGAGCTCGGCGACGGGGTCTCGGGCGAATCGGAGATTTCGGCCGAGACCTCGTTTGTTTATTCCGTTGCTTCTGTTTCTAGGGTCTAAGCAGTTTTTCGTGTTTTCCAATCCTGCAAATTAAGTGTTACAACTGTAAAAGTCTTGAATTCAGTAGGAAAAATGGTGTAAGCTGTAATAACGCCTCTTTTCAAGAATGCACAAAACACTTGCACACTGATAGAGGTTAGAGAAGGAGAGAACTCTCTGTGTACGGATGGGGCAGGGGTTCGGGAATTTTCTCGGTTTGTGTGAGAAGACCTTCTTCTTAATCACAATACCGTGGGGGGCGGTCTGGACCCCCGCAGGCTGAGTTTTTAAGGAGAGAACATAACCGAAGTTCATAGCTGAGATACCAGTTTTTTTGGATAAATAACATGCAATTGCAAAAGTATAATTGAATGACAGATTGATAAAAGAGATTAGTATTTGTGTAGAACACACAACTTTTGATGATAACTCTAAATTAGTGAATGGCTCAAAGTATTTGTGATCCTATCCCACAATCCGCAGAAATGATATTAGTGAACAATCCAAAATGTTATAAAACCAAAGATATAAAAGCCAGACCTGAATTATGTCAACCAACTTCTCCTTATCGGAGTCAGTCGAAGGTGGTGTCTCAAAGATCTTTGAAGAAGGCCACCCATTTTCTCCAAAGTACCTGTCAAATCCCAAGCCCCAACCAATTCAGAACCAATCGTCACTAAACAAAAAGATCCAATCGTCACAATCTTTTTGGCATGCTGACATGTAACAATCAGTGGGAGGGAGGGGGGGAGCACCCCCAACCTCTTGGATGTCCACTATATAACCTCCTTAATTAGCTAATAAATAATAATAATTACTAATTAGTGCTTTATATGTTTGCCCTCTCTTCTTTGCTCACACCAATCCGATCAACAATTGCATATTTGAATTGTACCATGCTTGTAAACTTCTTACATGTCCATTGCAGAAACGTCAATGTGCCGTGTGATCATCCCAGAGTTCGTAAGTTAACAACACGTTTACGATCAAAGCTTGCATTTGCACAAATTAAACCGCAGATATGATTTGGCATCCCACTAAGGCACACGTAAGGCATTTTTTGCGCAAAGCACCAAGCACAAGGCACATGATCATCACAAGCAATTAACCAGTAGGTGAAGCAATTCCGTAACGAAAGAAACCAAACTTGCGCACGTACCACCGCATCTTGGGCTTCCCTCCGCCGATGCGGTTCTGTAGATCGTCGTAGAAGGCCGCGTCCCAGTACAGCGGGTCGGCGGAGGCCGGCGGGCAGCGCACCCCGAAGTTCGCGAACGCGTCGTTGTAGGCCTGGCGGTGGAGGTGCTCTGACTCCAGTATGACGCCGTCGCAATCAAAGATGAGGGCCTCGAGAGACGCCGAGGCGGAGACCATGACGAGCCGGGGCGCGCGGCGGAGGCGCGCGGTGGGGACGCTTGAGGGTGATCGGTTGCTGAAGAAGGCATGGCAGCGAGCGCCGGCGCGGGCGGCGGTGGGGAGGGCGAGGGAAGTGGAAGGCACCGTAGTCGGAGGCATCAGGAAAGAGGGAGGGAGGATGGAGCGGAGTGGACAGTGGAGTAGGCACTAGGCGCCAACGGTTGCTTATCTAGCTGGAATATACCTTCCTTCCCACAGAAAAGCTTAAAGCTCCCCGCCTCATCCAGAGACCAGAGGCCACGCGGCGATGGCAGTGGCGGTGGCGCGGGTGACCAGCCTCGCCTGCGCTCCCCGACAGGCGCAGTATCGCCGCTTCGGGTGCGGTGGAAGTGCGGGTCTGCACGAACCGCACATGCGCGCGGCAGGGCGGGCGCGACGTTCTGGCTGCGCTCGCGGGCCTCGCGCCGCCGCGGGTCGACGTGGGCTCCTGCGGGTGCCTCGGGCGCTGCGGCGCCGGGCCCAACGTCGCGGCGTCCGTCGCCGGAAGCGCGGCGGTGTTCGACCACGTGGGCACGGCGGCGCGAGGCGCGCAGCTACTGGAGCACCTCCTCGGCCCCGCGGAGTTCGACGCGGCCCTAGGGCTCACCGCGCTGGCCACGAGGGAGAAGGCGGAGGCTGCCCTCGAGAAGGGAAACGCGGACGAAGCGGAAGCCCTTCTGACTGAGGTCTGGACTGGACACATGCGCCACTGCGATTGTGCGTGCTCCCTCAGTTGCTGGATTCGAGCTTTGATGATGATTACACTTGTATGTTTGCATAGGTTATTGGGTCCAATGTTTGTGGTGGTCTGCATTTGGTGTATGTTTACATCAAAATTTGAAAAAAAAAAGAAATAAGGAATTGATTAGATGTGAATCGGTATAAGTTGATTTAGATGCGATGTCAGAATCGGCTACTTTACAGATGACGTCAGCAGATGACATCAATGGGCTACACTTAAATGGCGCCAGGAATATGTGTTGGACTCTACGAATAAAGAAAATTAGAGTCCAAGTTATTATTAGGTTAGAAAATTTTCTTTTATTCTAAGAATTATAATGAGTCGTATTTGAGTAGGATTCATGTTTATCTTCTGGGTATAAATATCAGACCTTGGTTATTATAAAAAAACAACGAACACCCAATCAATACAACCTTTCCGGCTTTCGCCATCGTATTAGGAGTAGGAGTGCTATAGATTTCGGCGAGTTTTTCAACAAACATGGCTGTATCGACTGATCGACCTCCAGCTTTCTTGTGAGTACCGTCATGACTTGTATTGTGCTTATAAAGCTGCATCAACTGGTTGATCTTTTATGAGCCATAATATAAGTTAGTTATCGATCGGTATCATAGTTTATAAGGCTGCATCAGCTGATTGATCTCTTACGAATCATAATATAAATTACAGTTATCGATCTTGTGTTAAATAACTTGTTGTTTAATATAATATCACCAGTTATCGAATCTACTAAGATTAGTAAGATTTTTCTTACTGTTTTTGGTTGATTCATCAGTTGTCGATCTTGTTATAATTAATGTTTTATTAATTATAACAAAATCACCTGATTGAGATAGAGATAGATCGGCATCATATCATCTTAATTGGTCGTCCTCTGATCTAGTCATGCTTTAAATCTTATAATTAATGGCTTAATTCCGTTAGATCGGTTGTTTTATCTCTATCCCAATCAAACATAGTAAGCATCCAAAGACATGTTTCAATCTTAAATAAATTCACTAGTTAATAAGATCTAATCTAATGACACTGTCATAGCTGCATCGATCCGGTCGAACCTCAATGGTAAGACTTTAAATTAGAAATTATCGATTAGGGGTCTTGTTCATGATCAAGATATGTACTCTGTTTGTTTGCAATGACTGCATCGACTATTTTAGCCAATTTGTCTATACTCTCACACATAATATGTTTCCATGAATCTGTCAACATATAGATGGTTTTATAGATTCTTTAGTTTTAGTTTGTTATTATTATCATAGCTGCATCAATTCGATCGAACCTCACTGTTGATGATAATAGATTAGATTCAAATTGTTTGTAGATTCATTTATGTTAGACAGTTGATTTGTTCGCATGTTATACTCTTTTCATCAAAACTTATCGGCTCGACGCTTTATATCGATCATGTTTCATTTAGCCGATGATGTTTTCTAATGTTCCATAAACATCGGTTATTTTGATTCATATCATTATCATTTAATATTAGCCGATAATCCTTGATTTAAAGATCTTCATTTCATGGATACATCGGATATCGATTATTTAATCGATAGCCTTATTGAATCGGCAATCTAGCCGTGCATTTGGAACGGTCTGGTTCAACACTAACATGTTCTACCTCAAATTATTGATAAGATTTTCTCTTCTTGTTAATTGCAGGTTAAATTAACTGCCACGTCATTGGGTTTTCAGAATTGGCTGGTTCTGTGTTGAAGCCAAACAGATCTCTGGTCTCGTTCCACTCAGATCATCCGGCTTGCTGTGTATTGATCACATCGCCACATTTTTGTGTCAACACACTTTTTTGCACGCTCGGTGGGACCACAATCGTCATGGCGGTTCACAATAACAAGGACATTCTTATGGTACCTTATGAAGACTTACCTGATAAGGATAAAGATATCATTGGTAAGGCTATAGAGGAGTTTCAAAACAAGTGCTTGTTGTCATACACCAAAACACGTGACAATAAAGTTGTAGTCAGATACAGACCCAGAGGAGCCACAGACTGAGGAGCACGACCCTAACTACACTGAGGAACTTGGAGACGACCTGCCAAGTGCCACGTCCCACTCAACCTCGTAGAACCCTATTAGACATGCTACCATATATATGCTAGTGCTTTACTTTTATACAAATAATTTGTGATAGATTGCATGGTAGAATTGCTTATGAGCCATTACCTTGTCGCAACCTATACCCCTGCACACCCGTTGATAGGTTAGATGCTCGCTTACTTGCTACTGCTTCTACTACTCATTATATCCATGATGTGATGCTTGGTGGAGGATTGTTTGTGAGTGGTTAAGGCACTTGGTGCCGATAATATGGTAACAACCGGGAAGATCTTGGCGTGCGTCTTATATGTGTGGTGAGGGTTGAGTCGATCGGGCAGGATCTTACGATGAGTCGTTGGACGAGTCTTGCCAGGGGGGGCGACCCGGGCATCCCCTACGAGTGGTACCTGTGGCGGGTGCATGTGAGATAAAGAGGTCCCAAGGTGAAGTGTCTTTGGGGGATGAAGCCCTGGGATTGAGGTGCCGTCAAGGCACGGGGTGTTGGTTATCCCCTTTGAGAAGATATCATGTCCGGTCCCCTTAAGGACTGGTATGTCGAGAGAACCGGATCATAGGACCCTACGTACACACCACTCGTCCCTGAATGGGCGGGGAACGGATGTTGATCAACTAGGACGATGCCACTACTGTTAGGTTGGAAGTGGATAGTGTAGGGAGGTACGGGCGTACGACCCACACCCTCCTAAGATAGCGTAGTGACCTCTGGGGGTCCGGTACTACGTCTCACAGTCTCAGCGTTTTGGTGGACTCCGGGGTGGCCCAGGGCTGAGTGGTAGAGTGGCATCGCACCGGTTGGGAGGTAGCCCGGTATCAGCCTAGACAGGGCACCACCGATGATGGTGATCTTGTGGTTCCAGGTGTACACGCTCTGCAGAGTTGATCGAACTATACATATAGCCGCATCCTCGGATATGGACATTCCTATGACATACGCTTCCCTTGATTAGTGAGTGGAGTCCTTTCTTCTCTCCCCCTGGGTTCTTGTGTTGGTTTTCGGCCTTGGCCGATGAGGCAAGGTACGAGCGGGAGTCGTCCTTGTCGCCTAGAGAGTGTGAGAGTGGTGAGATGTGTGTGATGGGATGGGAGAACGTGTGGATGAGACGGCTTAAAACTTGATGAATTATTATTATTAAAACTTGGCATACTCTTATAGGAAACTACAGCCACAAATAGGTCTTTTGCTCTACCCTTGCATTCTACTACCACAAAACAAACGAAAGCATAGGGTGGGAGCCAGGAGCCAGTATAAATCGTACTAATAATTGTTTGACAGGTTCTGAGCCCGAGTACGACTACCAGGGAGACGATTGGGATGATTAGAGGTCTTGTTCCTGTGCTCAAGTTTGGTTGAGAAGATGGAGTCTACGTCCACTGCCTTTCTACTTGATGCCATTCTGGATGCTGCATGGTCTGAGTGATTCCGTTAAGTGGTGATGTAATAATGAGTAAATCTTGTTATTTGTACTTTCTTTAAAATAGATATTCGATGTATGACTGTGATATCAACTATTATTTGATAATGTGATAGGATGATTACCTGGGACTATCAATTTATAGTTTGAATATATAGATTTCTCTTCGAAGAAATCGGGATCGTTTCAGTCCATCACCTGGATTGGTTTAAGCACGTGCTGGATGATGAGAACATTCCTAGCATGCTATATTTATTATAAAATTTTAAAAGGGAGGAAACATTAGCTGTTCTGATTGTGATGTTCGGTTGATTGGCTGCCCGTGTGATGCAGTGTACAGAAAGAAAGCTTATATTATAACGTTGCTGAACTCGCACATTGTCATGCTGGCCTTGATTTGGTAAATGCCAAGTCCTGTCTTAGACATTCAACGCCAGCCATTATTTTGTTCAGTTGCAGACATGCCCTGATGCCCTTATGATAGTACCTGTTATGATGGAGCCATGCATAAACAAAATCCTATATGGTTGTGACTTGCACCACCTGTATAAGAAAATGGCAAGGTCAAGGCTGTAGCAATTTCATTATGTTCCTCTGCTGAATCATCTGCGTCTATTGTATTGTATCTATAGTTCGAATCTATTGACACTAAAATTTGGTAAACTTACCCTGGAGAGGAAAGTATCAACCGATGATATCAAGACATGAAAATCATATTTGCAAGCCAGCCACAGGTTGAGTTAAGCTGAGTCATTTACGATGTATTGCCGGATAGACAAAGGTTATTTGATATTCCAAATACTCGACAAGGAGACGCAGTCCAGTTTGATTAATCTACTACAGAGATCCTACGTGGACAAGTTTGATTAATCTACTACAGAGATCCTACGTGGACAAGTCTAAAAGAAGTATTATTGCCGACCTAGATATTTATACGTGAGGAAAAGCAGGAAAGGAAATAGGTCGGTGGTTGCTTGCAAGCAAAAGAAGTTACATGCATGCATGATTGATCAGTCCAAGAGAAATCGTCAATTTGATCTTGCAAGCTAATAGAGAAAGAAATCAAGGAATATACACATATATGGACATCACATCAATGATGAGAAGCAATGATATGTATCTTGTATATGCGTATACGAGGCTAGCTAGGGGTCATACACTTACTCAGCAAAATAACATGTCTGCGTACAAAGACTTAAGACACGTCAAACGAGGAGAGCCAAATAGATGGAGATTCACAGGCATGGTGAGGCATCACAGAATACAACTCCAAGTACACTACGTTTGCTTGCTGAGATATAAAATAAGAAAGGAAACCCGCATATGGCCAGAAGGAAAATACGCATGCAGGCTATGAGAAAGTCCAGCATAGGGGAGAGTCCTCGCACACGTTGATCAAGGGGATATTATTTGACAGTTTAGGATTAACGAAGGGTCCTTGTACTTCGTAGGATTTTTTCAGTTAGACTATTTTTGTATGCAAAGCTAGGCATGTCCATATAAATATAAAGGGTACGACCTATTGTAAAGGGATCATCTCTCAATTAATCAATACAATTATTTTTTCGGCTTCACGCTAACCCTTAGGAGTAGAAATAGTGTAGAAATT